TCTTTCGCTTAAAAGGAAGTGATCTGACTACCATGTTGTCAACTACCACGTTACCTTCTTCCCCAACCTCACTTCACCCATCGTAATAAAGTTATTTTTGACACTTTTTAATGACCAGTTGGTGGATTGCGGTTATTTCTAGCTACAGTTAGAACTTAGTTTGGATAGTAAACAGGGCATTTATGAATATTCTATGCTAAGTTTGGAGTTACGACAGCAAGCCATGGTAAAAGGGAAAAATTCTCGACCAAATCTTGCCATAGGCTCAGTAACAGGAGAAATATAGCGACTAAAGGAAAACGATCGTCTGGCCCCCTCTTTCTTTACATTAACACACGGCGTATTTTGCATCATCTTCGGAACATATTTTGATTTTTTCGGTGAACGTTCACCTGACCGCTAACGGGATTCTTCTGTCACGCTCTGCCTTGGGGTTCGACAGAGGCCCCCACAGCCGTAGCAGATGGTAGTATAGGCAGATAGTATTGCCGTCAAAGACAAGAGAGACTGGAATGACCATTTCTGGCTTATTAGCCGTCGTCAGCCAGTCATACCCAACACCGACTTGGTGCCCCCCTCGAGCCACGAACGCGCAACTCTTGGTTCAGAGTTAAACGCCCTAACCTTTGAGTCACTAGCCGTAACAGCTGGTAGTAAGCAGATAGTATAAACATCTTACTCCAGAATAATAATATTTGCTACTATCTATCATGGCTATCCTGAACATACGAGTCTATTAATTGTGCATATCATTTGTATTCCCTCGAGAACTAAGTTAAGCACGTGCAAATAGTTAAGTCAATAGTTTTGAATCTCCTATATTTCGAGAAAAAGCTCTTTCATTTTGAAACCCTGACCACACTTCCTGAGTTTTCAGGCCTTTAAGCGTGCGCGAGCGTTTTTGTTTATTTGATTTACCTCCGAGAAACACCTTTTATAAAAAGTTTCCGTTTGCACGGAGTTCCTGTGTGAACAGATTCTGAATTATTTTCTTTATTTATCTGACTGCAACAATTATTTGCTCTGAGTTTCGGTGCATGATTCCATCCCTTGGACTTGTGCTTTCAAACAGGACCTCTTGATAATTTGAGATTTCTTGAGTGGAAATATTTGACCCACCATTACTTAATTCTCTTCACATATTTGAATGATGAGTTTTCTATTAAAATGTTCCTGCCACCCTCCAGTACTAACTTCCTGATGAAATATTATATTTTCGACTCATTTTCTCCTTAATGAGCACGAAACATCGTGCTTTTTATTCCTTTAGACCAAATAGCTTTGGAAATTTTGCGCCAACCTGTTCAGAGTTTGTTGAGCATACAGTGTTTTACACATTCATCCGACTTTAATTAATCAGGCCACTGAATATTTGGGTCAGTCACTTATTTGCCTCAGTTTTCCACTGAGGTAATATATGGCTTTTGTTACTACGACTGGACTGGGTTTGTTAGGAGACTGCGGTTGAGCGAAAAGCCTCCACTTTGAACAGTGATGGAGATGATCTGCTGATCAGAAGTTTAGCCAAGCGGTCTGGAAGGGACTGTAGTCGACCACGCGCCGCGGTGCCTAGTATTCTGGTGATGCATCCTCCGGGGGGACGGGTGGTGAACTG